AAATGAATTAAAGACTTAAATGTAAGATCCAAAACTATGAAACTAATAAAAGAAAACATAGGGGAAAATTTTCTTAACATTGGCCTAGGCAATGATTTTTTGGATAAGACCTCAAAAGTATAGGCAACAAAAGCAAAAATAGACAAATGGGATTACATTAAACTATAATAAAAAGTTTCTGTATAGCAAAATAAACAGTCAACAGAATGAAGAGACAATCTATAGAATTAGAGAATATATCTGCAAACTATACATCTGACAAAGGGTTAATATCCAAAATCTATAAGGAACTCAAACAACTCAATAGCAGAAAGACAAATAACCCAATTTAAAAATGGGCAAAAGACCTAAAGAGACATTTCTGAAAAAAATATATATAAATGGTCAACAGGTATATGAAAAAATGCTCAACATTAGTAACCATCAGAGAAATGCAAAGCAAACCCAAAATGAGATATCACTTCACTCCAGCTAGAATGGCTATTATCAAAAAAGTCAAAAGATAACAAGTGTTGGTGAGTATGTAAAGCAAAGGGAACTCTACAGGCTGTTGGTAGAAATGCAAATTAGTATAGCCTTTGTGGAAAACAGCATGAGGGTTCCTCAGAAAACTTAAAATAGAACTACTATATATATGATCCAGCAATCCCCCTACTGCATATATTAAATATATCCAAGGGAAATAAAACCAGTATGTAAAAGGGATATCTGCACTCCCATGCTTACTGTGTCACTATTGACAATAGCCAAGATCTGGAGTCAACCTAAGTGTTCATCCACAAATGAATAAAATGTGGTATATATACACAAGGGAATATTAATCAGCCATAAAAAAAAATGAAATCCTGCCATTTGTGACAACATGGATGAACCTAGAGGACATTATCTTAAGTGAAATAAGCCAGGAACAGAAAGATTAATACTGCATGATCTCACTCATATGTAGAATCTAAAAAAGTTGAGCCCATAGGAATAGAGAGTAGAACAAAGGTTACCAGAGGCTAGGGAGGGGAGGGGAGGTGTTAGGACGGGGAGAAGATAGACAATGGGTACAATGATACAGTTAGATAGGAGAAATAAATTATGGTGTTCTAATGCACAGTACAGTTACTATAGCTAACAATAATGTATTGCATATTTCAAAAAAGCAACAAGAGAGGAATTTGAATGTTCACAAAGAACTGATAAATGTTTGAGGTGATAGAAATGCTAATTACCCTGATTTGATCATTATACTACATATCCATGTATCAAAACACCACACTGTATCTCATAAATATGTACAATTATTATATGTCAATTAAAAATAAAATAATGAAAAAACAAGTTTAAATGAATGGGGGAAAGTTGGAAGCTTTTCCCCTAAGAACTGGTATAACGCAAAAATGTCTACTCTTGCCACTTCTATTCAACATAGTATTAGAAGTCCTTGCTGGAACAATCAGGCAAGAGAAAGAAATAAAAGGCATCCAAACTGGAAAGGAAGAAGGGAAACTGTCCCTGTTTGCAGATGACATGATCCTATATATAGAAAACCCTGACGATGCCACCAAAAATCTCACAGATCTAATAAATTCAGCAAAGTAGCAGGATACAAAATCAACATACAAAAATCAGTAGTGTTTCTATACACTGAAAGTGAGCTTTCTCAAAAAGAAGTCAAGAAAATAATCCCATTTACAATATATAATATACCTAGGAATTAATTTAACTAAGGAGGTAAAAGATCTCTACATATAAAACTATAAAACACAGATGAAAGAAATTGAAAAAGACACAAATAAATGGAAAGATACACCAAGTTCATGGACTGGAATAATAAATATTTTTAAAATGTCCATACTACCCAAAGCAGCGTACAGATTTAATGCAATTGCTATCAAAATATCAATGACATTTTTCACGGAGCTAAATAAAGCAATCCTAAAATTTGTATGGAACCGCAAAATACTCTGAATAGCCAAAGCAAACGTGAATAAAAGGACAAAGCTGTAGATATCACACTACCTGACATCACATTATACTACAGAGTTATAGTAACCAAAAGAGCATAGTATTGGCATAAAAATAAACACCTAGACCAATGAAACAGAGAGCCCAGAAATAAATCCACACATTTACAGCCAACTGATTTTCGACAAAAATGCAAAGAATGCTCAATGAGAAAAGGACAGCCTCTTCAACA